TGTTTGATTGTTTGGATCCAGTTCGATACAATCGATACCGACTGTGACGTGGCACTAATAGAGTCTATACAACTCATATACACTGAGCGATTGAACACAACTGAGCAAGGAAGATTTGTCTGCTGATTCATTTTCCAAATTAATTGTTTTTGTGATGAGCCGAGGTGTTGTAAACAAGTTTGAATTTTTTTTGTTACTTTGCAAGTAGAAATTATGATTAGCGATTAATTAAATCTCCTGGGAAATAAACAATGACCGTCTCAACGGAAATGCATAAAGTTTTGATGCAAACCACTTTTTGAACAGCTGATTTTATTCTATTGAAATGTCAGTTTGTTCCATCAGATCGGATGGTGTTCCCGCGCGAATTTCAACCGAGAAACACAGCTGCGCAGCCACCGGAGATAACATAGGAAGATACGAACAATCCGGAGGAAGGTGGAAAAAACACGAGAACTAACACGAAAAAAGGTCGTGATTTTAAAATAAATATAGCACGGTGGCAGCACAGTGCACTGTTGCCAAGTCGTCGTCGAAAATGATGTTCATGACTTCGAAGCTGAGAATCAATCAGAGATTTTTCCCTCATTTAACTGCAGGATTGCTGGAAAATAAAATAAAAAAAAATCCCTGTTCTTTTGAGTGTTTTTATTGACTTTCCCAAAAAAGCTAATAAAAATTTGTGCCACGGATTTCGACCCATCTCTCAATTTAATTGATTCCTGATGGACGAGCGTAAGTCCAAAAACTCATAAGCCTTAGCGTCCTGCGTGATCAATGAAAGCCAGGGCTCATGATTTTTGTCACTGACGTCCGTCTAACAGAAACCGATTCAACTAATGTTTTGGTTGGTTAAAATTGCGGAGAAATCCCCAATCCTCCGCCTGTTGCCGGTTTTCGAGAAAGGAGTTCGAGGTATCGATAAGGGCTGTTTTCAGACCCACCCTGAATTTTCTCAACTATACGATTTTTTGCTCATCGAATGCAGAAGTCTCATGGAATGCATCATAATTTGGTCATTTTCGGCGTCATTTCGGATCTATTACTGACCTTAATATAGGTCTGAAGACCAATTTTGGCGAAAATGCGGATTTTTGACATCCTATCCCCAAAACTCGCATTTTTCACCCTATTCAGCCCTCAAACCCATGTTTCAGCCAGTGGTAGACTCGAAATGAGACCGGAAAATACCAAATAATGATGCATTTTGTTAAAGGTGGACCCCCAATTACCGAGAAATCGTAAAGTTGAGGAAATTCAGGGTGGGCCTTAAAACCGCCCTAATTAACGGGATATATCTTTCCCAAGTTTCCCTCTGATATTCCAGATTTTCATTTCATTCTCCATCGGTCACTGCCTTACTTGAAAAAAAGTCGCTTGGATCTAGAGTCCAGATTCTTAAAACATTGACAAGAAAAAATGATCTTGATTCAATCGGATTTTTGCTCGAATCAAAAGGAAATCCGCTTAAATCAAGAGGCTTGGCTCTTCGATTCAAGGAAAAATCCGATCGAATCAAGCGTATTTTTTCTTGTCAATGTTATTAAGAGTTGGGACTCTAGATTCAAGCGACCTTTTTTTTCCAGTGCATGTTCAAACTATTCTTATTTCACAGACCAAAAGCAGCCGTGTCCTGATGAAACATTCGGGTTAAAAAGAGGATTCCCCATTATCTTGCAGGCACAGGTGTGGCCACGAAAAAAGAGGGAGAGGAAGAAGAGAGAATGAAGGGAGGGAAAGGGACGCGCAAAAGAAAGTTGTGGAACAGTGCGCTGAGCGTCCGAGGGTGTGTTTGTACCGAGGGACGTGTATACGTTGCTTTGTGTTGTAACAAGCCATGTTCACGTTTCACATGGAAGCGAGCGAAAAAAGGTTGAGACATTGGAATAGTTGCGGCGCGGTGACATGGCGGGCAAGCGAGGACAGAGCAGAACAGCGAATACCTCGCTCAACCACAAATACATAATCGATTAGCTTAATAAATTGTTTAATGGTTGAGTAATAGCTTCGGCTCTCCCTTTGCGCCCCCCTCCCCCCCCCGCTGATCCCAGCTTCGGCTTGGCTTTCCTTTGCCACCAACATATTCCGATCCGCTTGTGTTGTTGACTGCTCTGGAAAAACAGCGAAGATAGGTCGGTACAAGGCACCTTTCCGTTGGTGCCAAGCATCGGCATAATCTCACCGACAATGAGAAAAAGAAATCGTAGCTTGTACGATGTTCATGGTGGATTTTAGGTCCAGCATAAAATTATAGTCTAAGTGCAATGTTACCACGCAAATGACATTGAGACTGAGACTGAGACACTGTACTTGGACTGGAATTTTAGTTTGACGTATTGTGAAAGCTGCGAATCCTTTTTCTTCCCGTGTTTGATTCAAACAATTGTAACTATGCATTTGGCATCAAGAAAAACCGTTCATTCTTTTTTATCAGTAATGCATACGATTCTTGGATTCTATCTTCTCTGGATAAAACGACCGAAAATTCATTTCCACACGCTTATCATGCACTGGTGAAATAATGATCAAATTTTCTGAATGAGCAAACAAAAAAATTAATGAAGTCCAGTAAGTTCTAAGTGTCTACAGATCTCTGAAGGTAAGAAATCAGCACTTCGAGGAAAAAAATATAGATAACGCTGTCTACTTCATACAATGTTTTGTTCCACTTTGATGTCCAAGCCAACGAGATAATGATATTCGACCAATTAGCTCGCCTCTTGAGAGAGACCGACTAAAAACGCATCTCTTCATATTCTCATTGATTTTTCGGGAAGGTCGCATCCATTGCCGCCATGCAAAATTTTTTAAAGGGATAAGATGGTAAAATTTTGTTCCAAGACTTGATTGATTTTTTCATTTAAACAGAGGAAAATTCAAGCACATTTGTAGTTGAGAGCGACCAAAATTTTACATAATGAAAAATACCTTCAAAAATTTTAATTTATAAGCGGAAATAGTGCGGCTTCACGATGTAGCTACAATTTTGCGTCTGAGAAATGACCTACGCGCGTTCTACGTCATGGACGTAGAATCCTGGTTTAGAGGTGTTTTTGGCTACAAATTCAAATTTTATGTTTCTTAACGTTTCTTTTATGTTTGTTTCTCAAGAAGTTCCAAGGCGTTATCTTTTTGACTTCCTGTCGACAAAGACCAGAAGATGGCCAAAGTGCAAAACCACGTATCTGCATTGCAGTGTTTCAATATTTTCGCAATTATTTTATTTTTTCGAAGAGAAAAAAGCCAACTTCATAGCTTGACATTTATGCAGAATATTCTGCTAATAGAGAGAAAAACTCATAGGAGTCATCAAGAAATCACGGTGACAGTAGTTCTTCAAAGAAAAAACGAAATATGGCGGGATGTCTGCAACGTCGCAAACGGATATGTGGTTTTGCACTTTGGTCATTGATATAAAACATGAGAAAAAATCAGGCGACTTAAAATCGATTTAGGATGGTTCAGGTCAAATCTATCAATACCATCTGCGTCGACGAAATGAGCCTTGACCCGGTGCCGCGACTGGCGCTCGTGGGTACCCGGGCGCGGTAATTCAAATTTCGCGCGCAGCAATCGAATTCCGCGCGCTTTGGCGGAGACTTCCCGCTCGATAACAAGGCGGGAAATTCACAGCACCTCATTGGACTGCTACTGCTACCTACGCGTTGTTGCCGGTTCTGCCGCCTATGGTCAAATACTTGCCCTGTCCCTTTTTTTCAAAATCTTTATTTCTGTTTTTGCCGAGCCTTTCTCTTCTTCTAAGTAGGGACGAAGGAGTTTTCTATATATTGAGGGGCTTGGAGGACAAGGTAAATAAGTTCAGTTTTTTAAAAAATAGGGATATTAAGTATTTATTTCAAGTTAAATTAGTCTTAATGCTTACTCTGCGGAAAACTCGCTCCGAAATTCCAATTTTTAAGCATCAAAAAGTCAGTTTGAACTTACTTTCCGCCTTGAGGATCCATGTAATTTCGAAACTTCAAACACGTATTTCTCGAAATAGCAAAAACTGCACCTATGCGCCCTGTTCTCCAAGCCCCTCACTCTTCCAGGGGGAAAAAAATCAGTCAAAGGGTCCTTCGGCTTGCATTTTTTTCATCACTCGAGAAAAGGTCAATTTTTTTGAATTTTATAGATCCTCTCGTCTACAGCCAGCAGAATGTCTAAGGAATCGATCAAAAAAAGTTCTTGAGAATCTGTCTGATAGAACTTGAAAAAATTGTACCTTCACATTAGTAAATTTTACATTATGTGAGGATAGGAGCTCATGACTCCCCTTGAATTTATTTCTGATCTTACCCAATATCAGAGTAAAAAAACTGACATCAGTATTGAGATTGGTCGAAACTTAAACTGCTTTATTTACATTTCAACACTGTTTTACTTTACAGGTCTATTTTATCAGGCATTCAGAGGCAGTGTTACGTATTGAGTCTACTTGATAAGAAAACGGCTGATGCTAGGGATATCAGATAGCTAGTTTTTAGAAATGGTGGTGCAATGGTTGCCTATCCAGAAAAACCAGGCTCATTGCAATGAAGGTAAAGGAATCCTGTAGGTGCATAACACTTGTTACAACAAAAGGAACTTTCGCTTGCAATTGGCAAACAATAATCCAAAGGAATTGTTCTTGCATGTTCCTAAAAAAATCCTGTTTGTAATGTAGGTAATGTAAAAATGTTGAAGCGAAGTTTTTTGTGTGCACTGATCAACTGGAATGTGTGCAAACCAAGAGAATAAGGGGATCAAGAATATAACCCTTCAATTGTGAGATTCTGAAAGAAACTGACGTATCTTGCTGAGACAACTGAATCAACATCAAGAATGGCGAAAATTAGAACAAAAAAAAGCTTAAATCAATCAATTGCAACATTATACTTAGGCAATAAGTATTCCATTTTTCCCCATTTTTTTTTTGTAAAATTGCTGACTGGGTAGGTATTAATAGCATATGGTTTTACAAAGGAATGATGAAATTGAAATTGAAACTCAGACAAAAATTAACAGCTCAAAAGAAACATATTGTAATTCAGTTATAAAGACATTCTTACATAAACTTCCCTATCTGATACATTAGTGATTAATTAATTATCCATAAACCTACATTGGATTTTTCACAAACTTTGTGTGAGTACATTCCTGCTAAAAAACTTTCTTATTACTAGAGGCGGAATAAATTGGTAAAATTGCCAACTACTCATGATCTGAAATCCTTCAGCATGGATTTTGCTTTTAAAATAACTTTACATGGTGCAACACTGGGAAGAACGGAAAGAGGTATAAAGAGAGAAAATAAACAAAAAGTTAAATATGAAAAGTAATAATTAAAATTGAGATAAATATGACAGGTGACAAAATTCTGACAAACAATTAATTAGGAAATACATGAATTGGCAAATGGATTTGAAAATTTATTTTAAAAAAGTGGGAACAATAGTGCGTTTGTAAAATTAGTCCAAAAATTCGACCAGTTTATTGTTAACTGACAAATAAAAGATAGCAATCATTTAAGAGACCCGACTTCTTTTGAACTTGCATTCAAAATTTTAAAAAAAATTCAAGGCACAAAGCTAAGTAAAAAAAAATCATCAAATCTTAAAATGTCCAAGATCTTATGAATGAAAAATGTAAAATATTAAGTCAAAATATTTGAAACATAAAAAAGTAAAAAAAAAAAAAAAAACAGAATATACACATATAAAAACATTCTTAATAGCTAGGGTACACCTTTAATATGAAGGTCCACAAAAACAAAAAAACTTCCTGGGTACCTATTACAAGCCTATCTGTTTTTGTAATTGATTTTTAAATCCTTAAAATTGGAGTTTCTCCTGTCTCACTAAGCAACGCATACAGGTACCAAACCATTTTCGATGATATGCACAGACTTAAAAAAATATTCAAACACCTTAATTACTATTGCCAGCAAAGAAGGAAGAAGAACAAAAAGAATACCTGGATAAAATTGCATGAGTGTAAAAGAGAATGCTCTCCTTCCCATGGAAGACCATGCTTTTTTTGATTGTGGAAAATGTTAGTCATCAAGATACTGGCATAGTCTAAAGTAAAAAGCATGATCTCAATCTTATCTTACAGAGGAGCTTGACTGCATATTTATAAATTCCCTTTACAAAATCAATATGCAGATTATACACAAGAGGCTACTTACAATAAAGAATCATAGGCAGTGATACGACTGTTTGAGAAAAAAAATTCAAATGAAAAGTATGAACACAGGATATTACGGAATATTAGTAAAATATATTTCCGGGATCTTGATTCCATGTTCCTCTCCAAATTGGAAGGTCACTCTTTGATCCATTCCAGGAATCGGCACTGCAATTTCACGTTGAGTGTACGATTCGTTGACTAGTGAATTTGGACCCTTCAAACAAATAAAGGAGCGGAGTTGGAGATTAAAAAGGGGAAACTTAAATAAATAATTGAAACAGAAACTGGGACAAGAAAATATCTGCTTTTTTCACTACGTTTTAGATATCTGTTTTTATAAATAATTTTCTCTGGATTCTAGAAAGTTAGTCGCTTGGTTAAGAATATTTATAATACAATGCACGGTTTTTGGAAATAGTACATCAACATTGCCGTGCCAAAGAAAAACAATGTATGAACATCGCCAAATCACCTCCAATAAAACGTTTACTTTTAAGAAGAGTTATGAATATTTTCTCGCAAAATTTTCAGATAAATTAGATCTGATTGCAAATAAAATTCTCTGGAAAATTTAAGGGAAAATATTCACAGATGTTCTGGAAAATTAGTATTTCATGAGAGGAAATTTAGCAACGTCTGAGGGGTCTTACAACGTTTTTCCTTGTCACAGGGCATACCGATCATGAATTGGGCTGCATTTGGCAATAAGGAGCTACAATTGCTAGCTCATACCTACAAACACATAAATGCATAAATAAACTGATGGCACATATGTTGTTTAAATAATGAGCCAGATTTAGTTTTGAATTGCAAAATGTAGTCAAATTTTCTCTGCTTTTAAGTTATTCATTGGAGAATTCCCTCACACTCTCTAATTTTCCTGCTTCAGATTTAATTCTAGAAGTTATGATCGAGTCATTTTTTCTTTACTTGATTTCTTAAGAATGACATTAGGAATGAGGCTCAGTACAAACATTAATGTGGGCTAAAGGGATAGGCTGATTTTTTCGATGCTTAGAACCGAAAAATTCATAATAGTACAGCTACAATTATGGCAAATGAATTAAAAATCAGCTTTTTCAGAAAATGAGAAAAAATTCACATCCAACCCGGGCCTCTCAGCTTCCCAAACTTTTTTTTCATCCTTGTAGTGATTGAAAATTTCAGATTTTTGATCACAAAATTAATCAGGTAAAAAATTCAACGAACTCTACCGCTAACATTTACTTAGAATTGGAATTATGGAAATGGTGAAGGCATGATTTAAATATAAAAGGTGAAAAATGGGAGGTCATTTAAGCTTACCAGTTGGAAATAATTGATATAATACCATCGGTCCTTGGTCAATTTAAGAGGCGCATCGAGAAGAAAGGGAACTACTTTTTTTAGTAAACCGGCCGAGTCACAGGGCGACTCAACGGCTTCAAACAGTTTTGAAGCAATGCGTGATTCACCCATATCCTCACTGATAGAATACTCTACGATATATTTTTCAGTTGTAGAACTATCAGAGCCGAACAATCCTATTCCATTGAGGTACACATCACAATCACAGGAAAATCTGAAAGAAGAATCCAAAAATCAATTTTACACAGTAATAAGTAATACATGAAAACCAGATATACACAGACATAGCTGAAAAAGTTACTTTCATTTTTCATAGTAGTCAGCCTATTGGTAAAATATTAATGCATCGGTGGCCTAAGTGCAAAACCATGTACCTCCGTTTGCGACGTTGGAGACTTCCTGTTATACTTTATTTTTTAAATGGAAAACTAACCCGCATAATTGCTTGAAAACTTCTTTACTTTATTTTCTCTGTTGACAGAATATTCTACATAAATTCCAAGCTATAAAGTTGGCGTGTTTCTCTTCGGAAAAATGAGCTAAGAGCAGAAATCGTGAAACACCGCAAAGGAGATATGTGGTTTTGCACTTTGGCCATCGATACCTCTTGGCTGAAGATACGATATTTCAGTAGTTGCTCTGTTACCTTTTTTTCTCACTATCATCAAAATATGCGACAGTTGCAGATGCAGACAGATGCAGTTGTAGTGCATTGCATGCAATGCAATGAGATTAATTTTTCAATTTGCTTTCTTATATGAAATTCCATCTAAGATGGATTCATTATCCCACGGCTGAATTAGCCGGGGTGCTGTGTCGCACCCTGGCCCCTGACCCAACGGGCTCCTCTGGGCGATTTTTTTTATTATTACTATTACTACTATTTTTAATTATTTATTTTAGGGAGAAATCCGACCAGATCCTTCAGGGCCCTCAGAGTCGAAAAGACAGATTTAGAGGGGCCCCAAGACTGGAATTTTGGTTGTCATGGGGCCCTTAAATATCGGAGTTTGGGATCCTCTGATGACCGTTTAAGACCTGATAGCTTGTTACTAAAATTTCGGTGAATTCATCAAACGGTCCTTTTGCATGCCCTATATACGTGAGAAAATTTTGATGGACTCTTCCGAAGGACCCCGAGACCAAGATTTCAACTGATTCATTGACTGCAAGCGAGTTTTATTTTTAATGATTAAAAATCGACTTTGTGTGTTCATGTGAGAAGATCCTCTTGAATCCCTACTTCTTCTGGCATTCAGAGGGACTGCCTACCCGTCGTGGAAAAAATCATTGATTGGGTTGATGCTTCTTTGGATGGATTCAAAAGGCTCCTGCTTCTTTACATACGTAGTTAAGGAGGAGAAGCTGAGACAAGGGGGAGGTCATAGCTGTCAATGAACCCTTTGGTTTTTGGGAAACGTGAACTGCCTTCAATGGACCACTAGACAAGGTACGAATTTCAGCATTCTGATACAGGTTTCTTAACCGAAATTTCACGTAGAATACGATGCGCACAGCAAAACCTACCAAAATCAACTCCTTACGAAGAAATTAAATGATTCTTGATGCGTGAATTCAAACCACCCGCTCATGAAAACTCAATGCTATACGTGATTCACATCGTGCGCTAAACGTCATCATGGCAGTCTCTGCTATATAAAAATCTGGCAACCTCAATCTTGACGCTTTGGCTCAGTTATAGCAAATTGCTTATAGTTTGAACAACACATGGTAGGAAATGAACGTTTGCTCGATTGAGAGGCTCGCTGAAACCGTTGTGGTGCGCGATTTGACTTACGTAGAGCTTTGAGTTTCATGTGAGCGGGCAGTTCAAATTCCTCGTTACCAATGTGAAATAAAAACGTGAATTTCTTCGTTATGAGTTGTTTTCAGTAATTTTCGTTGTGTGCATCGTGTACTATGTGAAATTCTGATTAAGAAACATGTACCAGATTACTTAAATTCGTACCTTGTCTAGTGGTCCATTTAGAGAGTATGCTACTGCCACCCGCAAAAAAGTAGGCCTTAGAACCCGCCAGCATCCCAGGCATTTGAGCGCTAATCCGGCCCAGCATCATCACATAGATTGATTGTGATATTTAGGTTCCAAAATTTTTCTCAAAAAAATACATACCTACATTTTAAAAAAATTGGAGAAAGGGAAATATTAAAATAATCAGACACTTACGCCAGTAAGTTACTTCCATGTTCCCATTGATGCACAGCATAGAAACTGTTGCCATTTACAAACCTATCAACAACAAGGTAAGGAAGCGATGAACGCGGTGTAGCAATGAAGTTAGCGGGCGGTAAGGCACCGCTTGCTTTGTTGGCAAAGTACAAAAACATGGAAACCAAGTCTTTGTCTGGTAATAGCCCACTACTAGCGACACATGACGAGAATTCTGCCAGTGACAATAGAGGGTATCTCAGTCGATAAATAGCATTGCCCAACACAGATGAACGATTCTCAGAATTAATCGTCAAATTTCTTCTGTTACATTCAGCCTCCGACCATCTGAAATAATGATAATAATATTGCTTATGAGTGAAAATCAGACTATTGTTTTGAAAGAAATTTGTCAGAATGAAAAGCATATTTACTTCATGCCTCAGGAAAATTATTTCAACCACAATAAGCTTATTTTTAAGGCACTAGGACTAGAAAATTATTTTAGGTTTTTAGTCTAAAACTAGCACCTTAAGTTTCCAATAAAAATTGAAAAGAACGCTCTTATCCATTGCTGATGGGTTTTTTTCTTCATTATTTCTTGATTCATTCATCTTATAAGGCCTAGATACACGCTCAAATTTCCATCAATTTCCGATCAAATGGTGACTGGTGCCCACCATCTAACATCAAATTTTTGCGGCCTGCAAAAATTTGACCGCCATTTTTGTCATCATTTTGATCCGAAATTGACGGAAATTTGAGCGAATATCCAGGCCTTTAAAATGAATTCGTCATAATTTTCAAAAATTGCTTTCCATTTCAAGAAGTTGCAGAATTGGACCGCAGATTAAGAACTTGAACAGGACAAACCTGAGCGTGGCCCTGAGTAAATCATACTCCTTAATCTTCAAGCTGTTCCGTTCAAGTATCAAACATAGAGTGTTCAGATCAATACTCGTAAATTCGTCAGATTCTATGGCTTCTTTAGTTTCGTTATCAATGATGCTCAAGCAGTCATCCCTTATTTTATTTTCATCAAAATGCACTGCCTGCAACAAAATCATAAAACTGAAACGTTAGGCAGTTGATATTTTGGGCCATCAACAAAAGTTTTTGATGAAGGAATATTGGAATATTATAATAAATTATAATGAGCATAGTAGTAAATAACTCGCTTCAGCAGCAAGTTTTCTGAAAGATCCAAATAGAAAAGTAAAACCGAAATTTTTTAGTCTGTCTTGGAAGGTCATGTATTTTGCAAATAACATTAAAAAAACTTAATCCAAAGGAAAAAATACATCTACTCGTTTACAAAAAGAAAATATCTGAGATTTTAACTATATCAATGACGAGGTATTACTTGAATTTTCCTGCAGATCAGGACTGTGAAATGTTCAGGAAAAATAGCTGACCTCTGTGCAGATCTCTAGAAGCTTATGATGAATCAATGTTGCGTTCGAGATACAATTTTTTTTTTTGTGCTAATTTCTAGATAATTCATCCCTTTGTGAATTGTTATCTTATTGCAACATACATTTGAAGATATACACTTCTACCTTAATTATTTTTTTTTTTTTTTTTTTTTTTTTTTTTTTTTTTTTTTTTTTTGGACCTTCATCTAACTATTAACATTGTATGCAATGATCTTCACTGACTCTAAAATAAAATAAATGAAGAAAAGAAACTGCAGATCAAGTTTTTTTTTCCTTCCTCACAGATAAGTTATCCTCACAGTATATTATTAAAAGATTTTAGTAGTAAATATTTCCGACAATAGGAAAATGCTGATTCATTCAAAATTGCCTTCACAAGTCAATAGAAGGGAGTTGAGGCTTGCATGATTGTCTGATTGCATGTTTGCAAGATTGTCTTACCTATAACATCTATGGCTTTGTAATGATTGATGGCTTTGCATCAGCAGTACAGAGTGGGGGAAAAAACGACAAAAAAAAATATATTACAGAAACATACCTTTGAAAGTATCAAAAATACATTTGACACCTTTAAATTGTCTCTTAAATAGTCGTGGCAGATCTTTTCTAAAGCAGGTACAGCGTACGTCTTAGCCGCATCGAGCACATCCATAACATTGTCAATCGTGACTGCAGAGACATCAGAATAGAGGAATCTAGCACAGAAAAGACAACAAGAAATCTAAATTATTTTTTGAAGAAAACCATGTAGGTGAACTGACTCCAAAATTGAAAAGAATAATCAATTTTGCCACTGTGCTTACAGGGTTTCAGCCCAAGCTAAAATCCATGAGACACAATTCACTTATTTGAAGAGTGCACAAGGGAACATGAATAAATCCTATGTTCTCATTGATTACTGCGACATTTGAGCACAGTAAAACGTGGAGCTGTGAACCCCACTAGTTACCAAATATCATGTTCTCGAAAAACTACCGTGCTAATGTTTTTGCTTTCTCATTATTTGGACTTGAGAATTCTTAGCATTTTTCTTCATGTGTTTGTTACTTAGATATGAGCTCCTTGGCCCAAATTACTGCAAGCTGGAGCTTTTTAGTCCCCGACACTTCTTAGTCTGAACACCCGACGAATCTCAAGACCATAACCATATTTATTGTTCTAATTCAAATTGTCTAAATTGGAGCAGGAATTATCCAGTGCCATTTCTCTCCCTGAGAAAAGGGTGGCTGTAAAAAATAGAAAAATCAGTGGCTGTAAAAAATACAAAAAACAGTGATGATTACATGACATAAAAAATTTCCCCAACACTGAATATTGCAAAATCTTACTTGAGCAGAACTAGAAATATATCTGGCTCTATATCCGGAATCATCAGCATTTCGCATTTTCCGTTTTTACTTAAGATATTATCTAGCACAGCACTTCCAACACACAGAATCAGTTTGTGAGCAGGTATCCTCTGCTCTGTTTTGCCAACAAAGATATTAATATCGGCGTATTTCTCGGAGTTAAAAATAAAGGCAAATCTGTCAGCCAGTACTTTTTTATCACCCTGCCAATTTTCGTTTGTTAAGTCGGATGGATCTTCAGCTTCTTGTTTGATCTGTTTTGGTAAGTCACAGTCGTTTCCATTTGTGGGGACACTCTGTGAGCTAGTGCTCGGGAAACTATGGAAAGCATTTTCAGGGGCACTTGAAGAACCATTTTCGGGGGCACTTATAGAACTATTTCCAGGAATGTTTGATGAACTACTACGACTTTGTGAGCTTGTCGAGGCTCTCTCTCTTTTCCTCTTCACCATTTCCAAGCAGTGAAAATGACTGTCCTGAAACAAAAAAAAAAGGACACCATTGATTATGATATTAAGTAATAAAGCAATGAAAAGTATAATGAAAAGTTGTCATGCAAATATTTAGGGCTAGGCTCTTTCTCACAGGCGAAAAGAATTGGTTGGAGTTAATTTTGGGTGATTCTCTTGTTTCTAATTATTATCTTCTCTTATTTTTCACCTTAAATTTTGAAATTTCCTTGTGATTAAAATTAATGGAAGAAAAGAAAATATCCAATTAAGTTTGCCCCCCCCTACCCCATCCTCGCTCCTGAACATACACAAACACACTGCTGCCAGGATTTAGTTTGTCAGATCTAGGAGTCTGAGCGACAGAAACGCCACTTAAAAAATAAGGAGATGTTCTCCAACTTCTGCTCATCGATGGCCAAAGTGCAAAACCAAGTAGGTATCTCCGTTTGTAACGCTGCAGACTTCCAGTCAAACATTATTTTTTATTTGGAAAATTAGCAAACGTAATTTCTTGAAAACTCTCTTGAATTTTCTCCTCTGTAAACAGAATATTCTGTATAGATTTCAAGCTATAAAATTGGCTTGTTTCTCTTTGAAAAAACAAAACAGGAGCAGAAATTTTGAAACACTGGAATGGGGATACGTGGTTTCGCGCGTAAACCATGGACATATGAGAAAATCAATCGAAGAACAATTTAGTCATTTCAACACCCTCGCTTCCTTGAACAGAAAGAGGTAGTAGCATAAAATGATTTTAGGTCTGTAACAGGTCACACAAGAGGTTACAATTTTATGAAATTAAAAAAAAAGAAAGGAAAGAGGGTGAGTCTGGATTTCAACACAAGCCCTTCAACTTGTAATGACTTAGGCATGACAGAGCTATACTTGACATGTCCTCATTGCATAGCAAAATTTTCGTATTTTTCAGTTGGTTGACTTGCACTTTGAAGCCTCAAACATTTGAAGAGGAGACTCTTAAGATAGTAATAATCATGTGAGAGCGAACATTGCAAATCCGAGCCCTTGTTGTCTAACATGACATTTTCTTGAGACAAAAATTCCCTAACTCTTCCAACGTTCTTTAGAATTAAAGCCCCTGACTTTTCACCAAAAAAATTTAGGGNGGGGGGGGGGGATTCGTAGCATTTGTTGAGTTTTTTTAAATTGAAAAAATGGAAGCCTCGTACATTTTAAGAAGAGACTCCAAAAATCATGTGAGAGAGAACACCGCAAATCCCAACCCTTTTTAACAATGTGATATTTTCTTGTGACACAAATTCCCTAACATGTTAGGCGTCTTTTAGCATAAAAGTCCCTGACTTTCCAATTTTATTTTTACAGGGAGGGAAGCATAGGAAATTTGTAGCACTAGTTAAGAGTTTCTTGAAATTGAAAAGATGGAATGTTCCACCTGAAGGGAAGAATTTCAAGGCAATACAATTTCGTGACTTATCCAGTCACTCACCCTAAACTCGCCTAAACTTGTTTTCACGGCGTGCTTGAATAAATGATCCAGAGAGTATAGAATACCCTCTATACTCTCTGGAATAATCCTTAAACCACCAAAATTATTCCCCAATAAGGAGGCGGACAAAAGTGGAAAAAATGAAGCGGATGACAGTGAATTTTAGTCGGAAAAAAGATGATACAGTGTTTCAGTTTCTTTAGATTCAACCTGGATTTCTTTGCTACAAATGCTTGGCCAGAAAATCCAGGAGCAAATGGCCAAGGGCGACATCAGTGCTCGCAGTTCAGCTGCCCAGATCAACTCCCAGCTCATTCAGCATTCAACTTTCATTCAAATCCAACTTTTCACCGGTGCGCCAATTCCAGAATAAAGGACCCCTCCCCCTTAGGTCTTCCCGATCGCTGCCCGCGTCCATTCACTCTTCATAGAACGGGTGACATAGTTGCCAAGCAGGAGTGAAAATTCAGTATATTTCCGTTATAATTAAACTTAAAATGTTGGAAAGTTTTCCCGTGCACCCCAACGCTGGTTGACGGGTTGAAGGGAGGGGTTGTCAGCCTTGCATTGGTCGTCCGTATAATCCCTTTCTGGCTCCCGGATAAACGTCAAATTCAAATGCGATCGCAACCCCCCCCCCCCCCCCTCCACCCTCAAAAACTGGCTTGATTCACAGATGCACGTGCGATCGTGCGTTCGCGCGAATTGCATTTTGAGCACGTTCTACTTACTGCCCTACTATGGAAAAACGCCGTATGGGCCCTCAGATGTTGCCAAGTTTCCTCCGATAAAATACAGATTTCCGGGCGAAAATTCGCAAGTGTTTGTCCTTCAGATGTCCACAGAATTTTGATCGTATTTTGACCTCAATTGTTAAGAGATTTCAAGGAAAATTATTCACAACTTTCCTGAGAAATTAATATTTTCCGATTGGAAATTTGGCTACAGCCGAATACTCATACGGCGTTTTTCCTAAGTATAGCAGCTCGGGTCTAAAATGTGCCTTTGTTCGGTGATCAAGGACGGGCAGCACTCTTATGAGACTGAAATCAGCGCGAAGACAATATGAAGAGGGCAGGGGGAGGGGGACATTACTTCAAAGAATATTTAGGATTCTTAACACAATATGAGAAGCACAATTCTGTACATCTGTCACTAAATAAATACATGGGTAAAATAAGTAATTAGGTAAATGAAAAATTCAGTAAAGTGAATGAAAACGCTTTGTAATATTCCGCTTTTGGAAAAGTGGGGCTTCCTTCTCCCCCCTCCGAATTTTTTCAGGGGGTTGTTTCTGGGGGCGGGGGAGGGTTGAGTTTTTTTCTTTCTTTTTGAGTCTAGGATTTTCACACTGATTAATCCTACACTGGTTGATTCATTCCCACAGCTCAAAATTGATACTACCTTGTTGACTCATAACTCATAGTGCATACCATAGTGGGAAGGTGGGATTAGCAGAATATGGAGGACTGCACTGCCATGCCGTGTTAAGGAAGAACGCCGTACGAACCTACAGGCGTTGCCAAATTTCCCTTGATAAAACACGAATTTCTTGGTCAGCTTAGGAATATTTTTCTTCCAATTTTTTAGACAATTTTACTCCCAATTCCACCGAAAAGTCCTGAAAATTTGAAGGGAAAATATTCATAAGTTTCCTTGGAAAAGAACATTTTATCGAAGGAAATTTGGCAACTCTCGAATGTTCATATGGCGTTCTTCCTTAGCACAACAGTATAAAGAGACTGTATTTCACCTGTCTATGCCTAATGACAAGGCTTTAGTTTATAGAGGCCTCAAGTGGACCTACTTTACCTCTTTGCTAATACATCGATGATTGATACATCATGCATCACCAATATACTTTACAGTAGTATACCTCCACCCCCATTTTAATACACCTACCTACGTATAGAGATGAAAACAATTCTTACAATAAGAATGGTCTATGGAGAAAGTAAAGAAAATGGAATATTTTTTTTTTTCATTTCATTACATGGAGAACATTGAGCTCAATAATCAAAAAATTCCTCTGTTGATGAATAAAATGATTGGGTACCTAATGTGTTCAATCCAATAAATAATTTTAAATATTTAAAATTAGAATATTGCTGTGGGGAAAAAAAAATTCCTGGGTAGGTGTCCTTGAGCACAAAGCCATGCTTCAAAATGCACTCAGATGTTGGAGATACCTAAACTTACTTAAAGTTAATAATACGTAATGAATCGTACTATTGACGTATTTCAAATACTATGTGAAATGAAACAAATCAAAGGAAATTGAAGGAAAGATGAAGCAGTAGCTAAGTCTTGGAATATTCAGTCACAGGTACAACAATGTGAAATCAATCAATATGTCTTCAAAGTAACTCCAACATCCACATATAACAAGTAGGACTAAGTGCATCATTTACACTATGAATGAGCATGAGCTAATGTTGGTTCTTGAGTGATTCAGTCCTTATGTCACTAAATTGCACTGATATCCTATTAATTCATACAGTAGTGTTAAAAACTGAGTAAACTTAAATTAGATCTGCATAAATCCTGTTTGTAAATAAAAATGAAATGCAAGCAAGCATAGTCTGATGAACAAAAGTGCATGACAGAACCAGTCGCAGCAAGAAGAGTAGTTAAGTTATATTATTACCTCAACAATGAAACTAACCTATGCAAATTTCTACTGCGCTATTTTCTCCGGAATAGGCAGAAGATGAGAGATGAAAAAAGCACGTCACAAGTCATACTTTGGTTGACTCTGAATTGTCACAAAAGCTACTACTAAGTATTGCCACTGCCTTAAGTCAAGGGCGCTAGGGTGCTTCGGCACCCCAGAAATTCTGACAGGCCGCTCAGGAGGCCTTGGTAGGACTACTGTACAGACCCTAAAAACTTGAAATCTCCACATAAAGAAGGACTCAAGGTTAGGTAAGTGGAGCCCCACCGCATAAGAGGGTCCTCAAAATCGCAACAGCACCCAAAGAACTATCGAGCCAGACCAACACTGCTTCAGTCAGTCAACAGAGTTTAAGAACATCAGACTTAATCAAACAGGAATACAGCAACATTACTCTATTACTGGGAGTAAGTCCCTCATAAAATTAAGTTGCGTGTTCCTGCAGATTTTGTGTCTGAACATCATCCTGTAGATTCAGGGATCAGCCACAAGTAGTCTACCTTTTCTTAACTAGTGTAGAAATCAGGGTGGAAGATGAGTTACCTCAGGGAGCAGAAAGGAACAAGTGAGATTGACAGGCCGTAGTCCTTGTTTCTGAAGTTCTGCCGAGATGACTGATAAGAACACGATGATAATAGAAGGAGAGGCTGACAACTTGAAATTCACACTATCAGGAAAATTTGCCGATTACTAAAGCATTTGATCACTCACCGAACCGAAAAACACACATACTCTGCCACTTCGCCGATTTTGGAGAATTAACGAACAAAATTAAGAATTATTTGGCATAAAAACATGCGCTGACACGCTACAGGAGGCGAGGACAGGTGCAACGACATAACCTAAAATTTTTAGCGCCAAAAAAAGTAAACACCACGTGATGAAGATGACTTGCGTGACAAAGCAAAGCGTAAAGTATCAACAAATGATGAAGGCGCTCCGTGTTCGAAGTCTCCTTGCAATGTCGTGACGCAAGCTTTCGTAGTTCTCAAGAAACTTTCAGCTCAGCATAGAAACATGCACTGCCAAAAAGAATGATAAATTGCTGTTTTAATAAAAATGAAAAAATTATATTTAATGTGAAAAAAAATATTTGTTTTCGAGTTCCCAGAATTTTTTAGACAAAATTTTGAGCGATAGAATTTTTGTTTTTTCAAGTCAAATGAAGTTTTTTTTTATTTCAAAGAAAATTAAATTGATCATAGAGGATACATATTTGTATCCTCTAATATGTATGGAGAAAACCTCATTTGAATTGAGAGAAAATTGTATCAATCAAAATTTAAACCAAAAAAAATTCCTCAAATCAAAGACAAGTTTTTCAATAAAAAATACATCGTCTAATTTTAAGAATATTTCCTGCCTGATTCTAATAAAGAGGCCACTCAATAGAACAATTTTCAAAGGCGCGGTAGTCGAATCAAAAGGCTGAAGCTCCAGCCAATCATCAGCAATCGTAAGCAGAGGTCCTCTCAACATTTCAACGACTAAATATGCCTTTGCCTTGACGCTACTCGATCCTCTGGGGGAAAATTTATGAGCCAAATATGCACTAAAAAACCCCCACCCCTTCTCTCACTCCTCGAGGGCCACCAGGGTGGCAACAAAGCCTCGCCGAGTATTGGATTTATTTAATCTTTTCGGTGACGTCGCATGCATTGAAACGGCAGCGCTCATTGAAACGAGGAGAAAGAGCCCGATTCGATGAATCAGGATTAGGAATTCATACTGTGAAATAAAGTGTGATCTACAACAGGAGGCTCCACGCTTCCACGCATCACTTTTGACCGATTTGCGAAGAAGCTTAACCCCAACACCTCCGCCCCCACCACCCGGCC